CCCCCTCTTCCCGCACCTCCCGCCCGAACTGCGCCTCCAAATCTGGAACCACGCCCTAACCTCATCCCTCACCTCCCGACGCACAGTGCAGGTAACCTGCACGCGCTCTGTGCACCCCGTCCTCCGCCGCCGCGTCGCAGAGTCCTTCGCGTCATGCACGCCACCTCCAGCGCTGCTAGCCGTGAACCGCGAGAGCAGGGGCGAGGCATTGAAGATTTGGAGGGCGGGGTTTATGGGGGTTCCATCCCAGCCGTCTGCGGAGTTCGAGGGGGTGACGAGGGGGGATGGACATGGAAATGGACATGGACATGGACACCGGGATGACCTCGAGGATGGGAATGGGGAAGAGAGCGGTTGCCAGGGTCAGAAGGAGCAGAAGCAGAAGCAGATGGCACAGCCGCGGCCAATCTACATCTCCTACGCGCACGAAACGCTGCACCTGCGCGAGGACATCCTGCCGTATTTACCGACGGCAGAGCTAGATCTCATTGAGGTGCTGGCTGTGGATGTTGCGGACGTGCATTACTTCGGGCTTTTCTATCTCGAGGTGATTCGGCGGATGGGACGGCTGCGGAGGGTGGATCTTGTTGTTGGGGTTGGGGATGGTGGGCGCTTGCTTGCTGGGTTGGATGGGGACGGAAACGCGGATGGGGAGGTCGGGGGGATAGAGGGGTGGGGGGAGGATAGGAGGCTGTTCCGGGGCATTGAACTGCTTCGGGATGAGGTGAGGGAGATGAGGGAGGCGAGTCGGGCGTGGGATTGTCCGGGGTTCAGGATTGTTCTGAGAGAGGGGCATGTTGTGGGTGTTATTCAGGGCGGGAGGATGGAGGACGGGGTTGAGTTGACACAGCTGGAGACAGCGTTGTATTATTCTGTGTAGCTGGCACAGATACTGGAAAGGTGCTTCATGTGTTTGCTTTATTTCATTTCAGTAGAGAATCACGTCTTTGACCGATTTGGTGAAACGGCTATCAAGCACTTTTTGATTCGTCTCTCCGCATTGGCAGGACAGTTAGATGGGACCTTTATCCGTAGCCATCCATTCCAAAAGAGTCTGATAATTGGCCGCTGTATATGACCAGTCCGTGGTTATGCCTCAATGCTCTTGTTTGGTGGGAAGAGGATTGTGGTGGAGGCGGGTGGTCAGAAAACAGCGAGATGGTTTGAGTTGCTTGGGATAAAGTGCATTCCATGTCAATAGTATCAGCGGTTCTTTCCATGCGCATGTGCACTGTGTGACCTTGAGAGGTGTCAATCTGGGACAAATGTTTGTTGGAGACAAAAGCAGTGCGGGGAAGACAACTGACGTCAACTGCACTGCTTTCTCAACCCAAACAGCCCTTCACCGAGAAATACGTATAGTCCTCTGAGGCTATTTCTGTCATGATGGCCTTTCAGGAGGTCGACTTTGATAGCATTCCCATCATTGATCTATCCACATTAGCCAGCCCTCATACCCACGAGCGCCAGAAGCTTGCAGACCTTGTCAACAAGGCCTGTGCCGAGGTTGGCTTCTTCTATATCAAGGTTTGTACCGGTAGGCCTACCATGAAAAAGCATAGCTGATACCAGCAGAACCATGGGATCTCTGACGAGCTCATTGATCGTACCTTTGAGGCTGCGCGCAACTTCTTCGCCATGAGCGACGAGCAAAAGATGAGTTGTTATTTAGGGAAATCAAAAGTCTGGTCGGCATTTCAAGAACTAACGTGGCCAGAGTCTGACTGTGACAGAACTTCCGCGGCTACAGTCCCTTGTACGGCGAGAAAGCATCCAATCCAGAACTCGAAGAACCAGCCCAAGGAGCCTTATCCGAGGCGTTCGACATCGGGTACGAGCTCGCTGGCGATCTTCGAAAAGGCCCCAATGACCCGCCACCCCAGGATGCGTATGGACTGCACGGCGATAATCAGTGGCCGGATGAGCGTCTCCTCCCGGGCTTCCGGGATGTCTATTTCGATTATTTCTCTCAAGTCCTTGAGCTCTCACGAAAACTAATCAGGATCCTTGCGCTCGCGCTGGATCAAAAAGAGGACTTCTTCGATTCGGCGGTGGAGTATCCAGGCGTGGCTTCGAGGATGCTGCATTACCCGCCTCAGCCGGTAGAAGGGCAAGGGATTCCAGGGCAGGCCGCTCACACGGTGAGACCTTTGTCGCCACTTAGGTCTTCCACTAACGTTTCAAGGACTGGGAGTGCTTCACAATCCTAGCGCAAGACCATGTCCCCGGTCTGCAGGTTCTCAACAACCAGGGAAAGTGGGTGCTCGCGCCGCCGATTCTAGGGACGCTGGTCGTGAACATTGCGGATTGCCTCGCTACGTGGTCGAACTATCGGTTCAAGTCCACTATCCATCGTGTCGTCAATCTCACGGGGGAGGAGCGGTACTCGATTCCGTTCTTCTTTGGCGTGGACTACAACACCACGATTTCCATCATGGAGAACGGAGGCTCCGGCGAGAAAGCCCGCAGAAAGCCATTTACTGCCGGTGAAGTAAGCTTTTTCCTATCCAGTTCAAATAGCATTTCGACTAATAATGAGCAGTATGTGCATCAGAAGCTGTCGAACGGGTATATTGGTTATGACGGCGAGTCAGAGGAGAAAACATGATACCGGGTCAGTTATATATTTATGCTGCATGTTCAGCCATCTGAACAGCGAACGCTCTCCCAACCGACCCGACTAGATAGTAATTGCAAAGCATTCAAGGCTTTCAAGTAGTGTAGAGTCGTAACGAAGCTTCCAATGAGTTTACCGAAGAGTCTAGGTTCAAACTCATAGTGGTAGGCAATGGTGGATCACCTGACCAGCAGCCTATGAGGTCATCCCCATTTCCACGCAGAGCAGTGGAAATAGCGGAGTTTACAGTCATACAACCTCCAAGACACCCCGCATTATTAATGTTGAACTAACCACCATCCAAGCTGTACTGTAGCTGCTCATGAGCTTCACACGCGCCACAAGGCCATTCCACAAGGTCCTCACCCGCTCTCTGAAACCGACACTACCGCTACCGCAATCTAGAACCATGCATGTGCAATCGCTGCCTATGTGTACGTTAATAACCCGTGATATTATCCGCCATAAGCTCGACTAATAACTTTGCGCAGGGACCGGGAAGGGCAACAACTATGCCTACCTGGTAACAGACGAGCCAACAAAGCAGTCGGTCATCATTGACCCCGCCAACCCGCCAGAGTAAGCCGCTCGCTCATACCATTGGAGATTCGAACAGCCGCTGATCCAAGCAGGGTCGTCCCAGAACTCGAGTCGCAAACGAAAGCCGGGAAGATCAACCTCACGGCTATCGTGAACACACACCAGTGCGTCCCTACCACCCGCCACTGCATTCTCTACTGACTCTTCCACAGCCACTGGGACCACGCCGGCGGGAACAACGAGGTCCTAAAGACCTTCAAAGTCCCCGTCATCGGCGGCAAGGAGTGCCAGTCCGTGACGAAGACCCCATCGCACGGAGAGACATTCAAGATCGGCGAGCGCATCTCCGTGACGGCGCTGCATACGCCGTGCCATACGCAAGACAGCATTTGCTATTTCATGCAGGATGGCGAGCAGCGGGTTGTGTTTACGGGGGATACGCTGTTTATCGGTGGTGCGTATCTATCTGCGTCGTTTTTGTGGGGATGAGAATAAGAGCAGAGCTGATGCTGAGGCATACAGGATGCGGACGGTTCTTCGAGGGCACAGCGCCGGAAATGCACAAGGCGCTGAATGAGACTCTGGCTTCGCTGCCGGACGATACGAAGGTCTATGTATGTTTCCCGTTGGTATCTCTCGTGAGCAGGACTAATGGTCACAGCCCGGACACGAGTACACCAAGGGCAACGTCAAGTTCTGCCTCGAGGTGTCGCAGTCCGAGCCCATTAAGAAGCTGCAGGCGTTTGCGGACGCGAACAAGCAGACACAGGGCAAGTTCACGATTGGCGACGAGAAGCTTCATAATGTCTTTATGCGCGTCAACGTAAGTCTCATTCCCATCCACCTCGCGCATTCAAGACAGACTAACAAATGCCGCAGGACCCCGAAATCCAGAAGAAAACAGGCAAGACGGACCCCGTCGAGGTGATGGCCGCCTTGCGGGAGATGAAGAATGCTATGTAGAGGACAACTACGAGCTTCTATACTGTAATTTGAGAAAATTGAACAAAAGATAATCTCGTTGGAATTCAACAAAAGGAAATATATAAAATGAAGTGTCTCCCGTCTTACCACCCAGCCTCCCATTCCCATAGCTAAATGGGGTCCAAGCCGGGCTATCGTTCAGGGACTCCGGCACGAGGCCAGATATGTGCATGTTCATCTTGCTTCACTGTCCACACTCACGCGCTCTGGTGTTGAATTTCGGCAGCGGTGAGCTCTAGCAATTTTAGAAGCGATAGAGAAAAACAAAGCAAAACAAAACGAAGAAAAAACAGAAATTCTACGCGGCAGGGTTTGTTCGGAAATGTCGAGTGCAGTGGCGCTGAGAGTCAGGGCGGCATTAAGCACCTGGGTCTCATCAGGTCAAGGCTTCTCGAGCATATCCGACAAGTGATGACTGAAGTGGCACACTGATTTCGACGGCGTTGGTCGCCAAAACCAAGATACCGGGCAGTTGAAGAGAAGAGAAGAAAAGAAAATTCCCGTCCGCAGAAAATTTAAAGCCCACCCTGACCACGTGATTTACAGGTACATGGTAAGGTACCTCCGGCTCCGCTCCGGCCAGAGCTTCATCTCCATCCAAATCTACATCGTTCGGCTCATTCAAGCTCCAAGCATTCGCAAACTCCCACCCCCACCCTGAAGCCAATGCAATGATCCGTTCAAAACTACAACTCCAACCGCAAACCCATCCATAACCACAACCCAGCAAAATGCCCAAACCCGACCTCCTCCGCGCCTTCGCCCTCCACGCCCCCACCCTCTTCAGCCCGCGAACCCTCTACTACACCGCCGGAACCCTCTCCGCGACGCTGCTGTTCTGGGACAACATCCTAATGTGGCAAGCGGCCGGCGGGCCGTCGATGTATCCGACCTTCGAGATGCGCGGGGACGTCCTGCTGATCTCGAAGCTGCACAAGCACGGGCGCGGGATTGGGGTCGGCGACGTGGTGCGCTTCTACCACCCCAGCTTTGTGGGCGTGCATGGGTGTAAGCGCGTTATTGGGATGCCGGGGGATTTTGTGTGTCGGGATGAGGCGCTTGATGATGGGGTTGGGGGGAATGGGGAGATGATTCGGGTGAGTGAAGTGCTTGCTTATGTCTAATTCTGCGGCGTTGTTTTGGGATGCTCGGGCTAATTGTTGTTGGATAGGTACCGGAAGGTCATATTTTTGTGGCGGGGGATAATTTGCCGTGGTCGAGAGATTCGAGGGTGTTTGGGCCGTTGCCGATGGGGCTGATCAATGGGAAGGTTATTGGGAGGATTTGGCCGCTGTCGAGGTTTAAGTGGGTGGAGAACACGTTGAAGCCGGTTGAGGGGGCGAGTTGAGAGTGCGATGCGTTCTGTATAACATGTAACATGCATTATGGGAGTTTGGAGTTGGGAGAATTGGCTTGGCTGAAAGTTACTATATTCATACATATGGTTGTACAATACATGAAAAAAACGATAGAACAGAAACTGATCACCCGCGCATGGTGACAGGGTTTCTCCTCTTGTAAGGCAGGGCCTCGCTCCGCTTGCGCCGGAGCTCCATGTCCGCCAGAGGGAAGCCAATCTCCTGCATGACGTCGCGGGTGTCCTCGTCCCAGATGGTTCGGAATAGGTGTGCTCCGATGGCCTTGAGGTGGTAGCGAGCTTGTAACGTACGGAGGAGCATGTTGTCGCGGTCAGTCTCCTTGGCCTTGACGGCCGCGAAGTCCAAAGGTGTGTTGTTCTTCTGCTCCATGACGAAGAGCGACAGTCGGTGGTAAGGGCTGCCCTTCTGAGCAACCGGGGGAAGCCAAGGCAGGACGACCTGAGACTCTGTCGACAGCTGCGAGAGGTCGACCTTGGTGTTGAGAGCCGAGATAGGGATGTTGACGGCAAGGTAGTGCATCTTGTAGTCGAATGTGTCCTCTGCGACGTTGGGGACATCGGAGTCCACGACGGCGATTGTCACCAGCCTGTTTTCACCGTCAAACGGTTGGATGTCGAGCTTGGGGGCGACGCTGCTAGCCTGAGAGTTGACAAACTCTCCAGGTGGCACAGTTTTACGGCCAAAGTAAAGCTTGGTATCAACAATCGGGTCGCAGTGGGGAAGGACGTCAGGAATGACTTTCATCTGGGTGATTCGCTGGACGAGAATCTTGCGGCGGTACTCTCTCCATTTCTGGTCGGCGAGGTAGCGGTAGATAGGTTTGCTCATGTCACCTAAACAGTGAGCTTTCGATTGATTGACATAAGATGCAGCCACTTACCATCGCCATCCTCAAACTTCTTCTTCACCAGAGGGTCGTTGATGTCGGCATGAACCTTGAGCCTCTCAAGATGTAGCTCCAACGCGCGTAGTCGCGAATGGTTAGAGTTCTTCGTTCGCTCTTCCTCCGGCAGGGCCTGGATCTTCGCGATCTTCTCGCTAGTCGTTGTGATCTCCTTCAATTTCTCCTCCCGATCCGAAAGCAGGACCTTGCGGGCCTCCTGGAAGCATTGATAGGGCAGCTGTTCGAAAGGCACGCTAGATGTCGCCTGTAACGCGGCACGACGTCGACGAGAGCCAATTGGCAGAATACCCTGTCGCATCAGCCTCCGCTCCAAGCGAGGACTTGACACCAGTGCCGGGTCTGGCGACTTGTAGAAGGCCTGTTTCGGCGCCTCGGCCTGGGCTTCCTCCTGGACGGCAGCCGTTGTCTGGAAGGCGCGCGTCTGCAGCTGAACGCTGGAAATGCCTCTAACTGAAGATTTCGACAGGCATTGGATGAGTGGCCTGGAGGCCCGCTCACAATGGGCCATTGTTCCTGGAGATGGGCGGTTGGGGTTGGTGTGGAGGAGACGGTCGACTTGCTCCGGATGATGAGGAACTCTGGCCGGGCACTTTTTTTTCCAGTGCCAAGCCTCCCGTTAGTGCCAACCACCGCCTCGAATTTGGCTGTTCAATCGACCCAGTCGATTCACCTCTAATAAACGACTTCTTGCGGTTCAGTTTGTTCGCTCCAGTATCGCAATGGTTGGGAGTAGCGCTTTTGGCACCTTCAGATGGCTGTCTCGCAGCTCAGGGGCTCTCCTTTCTGGAGCTGAGGCCACCACGGTTGGTCACGCTGCCAACACTTTAGACATCCGAATTGACGGTTTGCAGCAGCGATGCCTTTCACGTTCGATGGCCACAGTAACGGAGACGCCGGTACCGAACGTGCCTCCCTCGAGAGAAGAACTTCTTGCCAAGTGGGCTCCGAAGCCGGTCCTGGCGACTACCTACACATTCCCGACAATGGAACCCGTTCAGTTCGTGGAATACCCCCGAAACCACCTCATGATGCCGCTCCGAAAAGACATCCTCCACCGCGCGGTTGTATACGAGGGTGACATGACCCGACAAGGTACAGCGAGCACCAAGTGGAGGGCCGACGTACACGGAAGCAACCGGAAACTCCGCGCGCAAAAGGGATCTGGAAAAGCGCGCGTCGGTGACAAGAAATCGCCAATTCGACGGGGCGGTGGTGTCGCTTTCGGTCCTCATCCGCGAGACTTTTCGACTGATCTTCCCGGCAAGATCTACGACCAGGCCTGGCGCATTGCGCTCAGCTACCGGTACAGGCGGGGGCAGCTTATCATCATCGACAACCGGATCGGTATTCCGGAAGACGCTACGCCGCACCTGATCAAGGAGATCTTCAAGGTCAACCGTTGGGGGCGGGAGTTCGGCCGGTCTACGATCATCACAAACAAGTTGCACGAGGAGCTGTTTGATACGGTGAGCCAAGTGGGAGAGGACGCGAAGATCCTCGATCGTGAAGACGTCGACGTGAAGGACTTGCTGGAGACTGGGCGATTGATCGTGGAGAAGAAGGCACTGGATCGCATTCTGAAGGAGCACTCGCGGGATCTGGAAAGTAAGCCCGCGAAGGCTACATATTGATTGCATTGCGTTGAGCTACTTTACAGCCGCTTGGCTGGATGTACAAATAGGTATATTTCATTATTGTATGAATGATTTCATTGTTTCCCGCTCCGAGCACATGCTTCTAAGAGGTCTCGTTCAACGAAGAAATTCCCAGCAAACTCCCCTGAGATTCCATCGAGTAATCAGATAGTATGAAATCAGTAAACTTAAATCAATGGGCATAACAAGCATATTACTGTGAGCATTGTTGATTCACGATCCTCGGCCATCGTCGGCGGCGGACACTTGGGCAAAAAACTCCCGAGGGAAAATCCTCCAACTTGCGGAGTTCGAACCGATCATCTTTTCGTCACGACCCCAACTCCAACTTATATCTCCTTCCTCGGGTCCTGCTCGGCTCATACTTTCTTTTCTTTCTCCCTTCTCCCCCCGCAGACTTGGGTCTTCCTCATGTTACTCCGACACAGCTTACCCCGGTCAACGCCGTCGAGCTGGTTCTCGCGGATATCCCCAGCAAGCACCATGCCTCTTCGCGCCAAAGTGACCAACCCAGCCTTCACGACGACATCAAGCGTACGTCCTTTCGATTGTTATACTTGCTACAAGCTAACGGAGTTAGATGTCGACCGCGTCCAATGCACAGATCCCCAAACCTCAATCCGGCGACGAGCCCGACGATGTCCTCTTCAATTCCCTCTACGGCGTGCGACTGGTGGAACTTAACAGGCCAAAGAAGCTCAACTCGTTGAACGGCTCGATGGTTAGGAAGATTCTTCCTCGGCTGAAGGTTAGACGCGAATTATGAGCTTGGTGGAAGCTTCGTGCTAAGCTATCTAGGAATGGGAAAAATCTCAGCTGGCCAACATCGTCATGGTCTCCGGAGCCGGCTCAAAGGCTCTTTGCGCCGGCGGCGACGTGGCTGCTCTCGCGCTCCAGAACGAAACCGGCCCCGAGGGACAACAAGCTTCGGCAGACTTCTTCGGACTCGAATACAAGCTCGACCACACCATTGCGACCTACACGAAACCCTACATTTCCGTTATGGACGGCATTACCATGGGCGGAGGCGTCGGACTGAGTGTTCACGCCCCGTTCCGCATCGCGACCGAGCGCACCGTCTTCGCCATGCCCGAAACGACCATCGGCTTCTTTCCCGACGTTGGCGGCTCGTTCTTCCTTCCCCGCCTTGACGGCGAGCTTGGCACCTACCTGGCGTTGACATCAGCGCGTCTGACCGGTGCTCAGGCTCTGTACGCCGGCATTGCTACGCATTACTTTGACTCTAGCGTTCTGGGCAACCTTACGGCCCGTCTGTCGGAATTGGTCTTCCGCGACCACGCCTCTCTTCAGGAGCAGCTAGACCTGGTCAACCGAACAATGGCCGAGTTCTCGACTGGTCTTCCTGAGGGACCTGAAATTCGTGGTGAGCTGCGCAAGGCGATTGACCGCTGCTTCCGTCACAACACCGTGGAGGAGATCATACGGTCCCTGGAGCAGGAAACGACGCACAAGCAGTGGGCGCAAGAGACACTAGAGACCATGTCGCAGCGGTCGCCCACCTCTCTCAAGGTTGCACTGCGCCAACAGCGCGTCGGCAAGTCATGGGGCATCGCCGAGACGTTCCAGCGAGAGTATGAGATCGCTGCGCGGTTCATGCGCCACCCCGATTTCGTCGCGGGCGTCAAGGCGCTTCTCATCTCGAAGCCCCGCCGCAAGGCGCAGTGGCAGCCTGCAAGCCTGGAAGAGGTCTCTACCAAGGACGTCGATGCGTTCTTCACGATTCCTGACGGCCGGGACCGCATGCCTCTTCTGAACAATCACAATTGGCGCAATTATCCGCACGCCTACGGCCTCCCCTCCGAAAAGGTCATCGAGAAGTATGTCCGGAGGCACGCGAAGACAGCAAAGGAACTCATTGTCGAGCATTTTGTGAAGGAATACGACCATAAGGAGGGCGTTGAGCAGAAGGTCGCCGAGGTGCTGTCCAGAAAGACTACTGTTACTGAGAAGGGCCTTCAATGGGAGGGCGAGGCCTCTGGCCCCGAACTTGAGTAGACGCTTCTTTAAATCTAGACTGTTTGCATGTATTTATAGTATCAAGGCACGACAATGGCACCGTTCAGTAATACCAGGGCATGTAAAAAATGATCCGCTCCCGCCTAGACCAAGTGGTCCGACCGACCCCAATCCCACCTGCAAGATCCTCCACCTCGCTTGCCCGTCTAGTCAAAACAAAATACTGCAAGAGCAGCGCAATGAAGTCCACCAAAACCTACGATCATTGATCACGACCTCGCCATGGAAGCCGAGCCAGAAGCCGAGCCCCTAGTCCCCCACGACGACGAGGCTCCATCCTCTCCAAGTTCACCCCAGTCCAGCACCAGCACCAGCAACCGCGTCCTGCTGCGCCTCTACACCTCGCACTTCCTCTCAACCTGGAACTCGCGCATGTTCGAGTTCGGCGCCGTCGTATTCCTCGCTTCCATATTCCCCGGGACTCTCCTCTACGCCTCGGTCTATGCCCTCGTGCGCTCGCTGTTCGCCGTGCTCTTCTCGTCGTGGCTGGGGGCGCTGGTCGATCGAGTAGATCGCTTGTCGGCGATTAGACATTCTATCGGTATGTCCACTGCTACTCGGGCTTTATGAGCTATGTTGACATGCGTAGTATGGCAGCGGGTCCCTGTTGCAGTTTCGTGTGTTTGTTTGGGGTTGCTTTTGAGGGCGCCGTCGCCGCCTGTTTATGTGGAATGGATGCTGTTCGTTGCGTTGGTTCTGCTTGCTGGTGTTGAGAAATTGGCTGCGACGGCTAATGCGGTTTCGGTGGAGAGGGACTGGGTATGTTTCTCGCATTGACTGACTTGTTCTTGTTGGCTGACGGATCAGGCTGTTGTGATATCGGACGCATTGCTTGTTTCGAGGAAAGGTATGGCACACCATCATGTTTTCTTACCTGCAGTCATGACTGACTTGTGTAGATCTAAATGCTTCCATGCGACGGATTGATCTGTTCTGCAAGCTTGTTGCTCCGGTCGTAGTCTCTTTGATGGACGGCTTGCTTTCCACTAGGTTGGCGATCTGGGGTGTTCTGGGACTGAATGTCGCCGTTGTTCTTGTGGAGTATTTTGCCATTGCGCAGGTATGTCTATATTTACCCGAGCTCGGAACCTCCATTCTTACAAGGATAGGTGTATCACTCCGTTCCTCAGCTGGATCGGAATACCGAAAGGCAAGCGACAGCTCGTGACGATGAGGATGTCGAAGAGGGTCAAGCAGATGAACGCTCCAGCTCCCGCCATACAATCATGCAACATGTCCGTAGCACCATCGCCCCATGGTGCGAATACGTCCGCCAGCCGGTCTTCCTCGCCTCCTTTGCCCTGAGCCTCCTCTACCTGACTGTACTGTCGTTCGGTCCGACGATGGTGACATTCCTCCTCTACTCCGGCTTCAGCTCCCTGCAGGTCAGCGCGATGAGAATTGGTGCTGTCCTAGCCGAGATATCAGGGACGGTGGTCGCTCCATTCCTCATGGACCGCATCGGACCAATTCGTTCGGGCCTATGGTTCTTGAACTGGCAGTTCGGCACGTTGGCCGCCGCGGTGGCTGCCTTTGCGTTTGCTGGTGGCGCGCCTCACCTAGTTGCGGGGTGTCTTGTAGTAGGCGTAGCCCTGAGCCGGCTGGGACTCTGGGGATTTGATCTATCGGTGCAGTTTCTGGTGCAAGAAGTACGTACCCACCTACCTACCCGTATCCAAGCAGGGCGCTTTTTCAGATTGCTAACAGTGTACAGAGCATTGACTCGGGCAGCCGAGCCCGTTTTTCTGCCACCGAAATGGCGCTGCAAAGTGTCTTTGAGATGATCTCGTTCGCTACGACAATTGTCTTCGCCGACCCTGATCAGTTCATGCATCCGGTGTATATAAGCTACGGGGCTATCGCGGTTGCTGCGGTTTGTTTTGCGGCGTATGTGAGGAGGGAAAGGGGGCATTTGATCCATACGTCGAAATGTATGGGAGATAGCAGGCTATAGCCAACTAGCCAAATAGATAAACAACCCTTCCATTTACTGTATCTGTTGAGCCGTCATCGGTGTTGTATAGATCTACGTAATCAATGCGGGGACGGATTTCCCCCCCGCAACCACTCCCACTCGTGGTACCACTTCCTCCTGTCAACAAACACACTGAAGCCCATGGAGGTACGTCCCTCTGAATCACGAATTACCTTCTCTAATCCCCAACAGACACCCCCGAGAGCCCGAGGGCCCGGCCGCTCAGGGCCCCGCCGCCGCACGGGGTGCCTGACCTGCCGCGCCCGCAAAGTCCGCTGCGACGAAGCAAAGCCCACGTGCGCCAATTGCACGCGCCTCCGGTTGCAATGCGTGTACAGGAGTGTTATCATCCAGGGGATGGGGATTCCGAAGACGAGAGCGAGACCGGGGCGTGCAAGATCGGCTTCTGGTACGACTACGACACAGGAGCTGGAATCGCCTGCGTCGAATGCCAGTACAGGAGCTGTTGTCCGGCCGGGCGGGCTACAGAGTATCGGAGCGAGACAAGTACTGTCGTCCGTTAGTCCTGAGGAGATTTCGGGCGCTCCGGACAGTATCCCCTTCGACATGCTCGGGTTCATTGGTGAAATCACCTCGGATTTCCAGCAGAAGCATCTTGATCTGACGAACGGGGAGAGCATCGTCCCTTCTAACCGTCCAATGGCTATACCAGTACCGGAAGTAGACGGATCTTTCCATGACGCACGGCAAACGCCTTGGGACCCTGGGCGGGTGGATGTAAACACCTGCAATACCGGGATCATACCAGACCCGGACTCGGTCTCGCCCCAGAGCACAACGGAAGAATCATGGGAGGACCGATTACTGCAGCATTTCCGTCTGAGCGATGCCCCGCCTACGATATTTGCACCGGTTGATCTGGAGTGGAGATATGTGCGAGATGCCATCCTGACCGAGTCAAGTCGCAGCGCTCCTGGTTGCCGTGCGCTTTTGCTGGCCGTGTACTGCTACTCCGATACACATATGGCGTGGGTAGAGGGGACGCAGCCGAAGCTTGGGCCGAGCTATCATGCGCAGGCGAGCTCCGAGATTCAAGCTTGTTTATTGGAAGAAGATGTCAGTGAATCATTGCTGAAGAGGGTATTCGCGAGTGTTCTGCTGCTAATGTTGGCTGAGGTATACAACATCCCTTCCCTTTACTCATAATAACAGGAACGGAGGATATTGGACTGACATACGAGCAGCTGATATCCCCAGAAACCTGGCGCCCAGCAACGCCATACTTACACACCTCCTTCCTCCTCCTGCAACGCTTCCACCCGCGCCTTCGAACATGGACCGGCATCGCACACCTCATCGCCTCATGGGTCTCCCTCCTCGACATCAAAGCCCTAATCGCCGGACGAGACGGAGATCCCCTTGCTGACCTTGACGTTGGAGACCTCACGCCCACCCCAAACTTTGACCATATCTTTTCTTCGTCCAGACCAGACCCAAACTCCGAAGATATCCCCTTCGAGAAGCATCTCACCTCCCCATCATACCTAATAACCCACTCCATAACCAGCCCCGCATACACCTTCTTCCTCCGCACCCAACAACTCACGCGTCGGATCGTGGTAATAGACCTCCACCACCGAGCGCGCGGCACAGTCTCCGACGAATTCGAGGTATTGCAAATCGCACACACCGTCTCCGCCGACCTCGAGGCCCTCTGGAACACCCGGCCACGGATCCTCGATCTCTACGACACACCAAGCAACGAGCCAGACTCCCTCCTCACCGTCCTATCCCCCCAAACAGCAGAGAAAATAGTCCGCACATTCCGCGCCTACGTCGCCAACTTCCTCGCCCAATCTATATACCTCCACCGCGTCGCCTTCGCTATATACCCGCGCACAGATAAAGTCTATGCGGCTGTGGAGCAGATCATCCGCCTTGCGAGGGAGGAGGGTTCGCGCTCTGCCAACAACAGCACCACCCCTGAGCCCTCGGTAGGCTCCGTCCCCATAAGCTTCCTCTGGCCCCTCTTCATCGCAGCCCTCGAAGGCTCACTTGAACAGCGCGCCTGGATCACGAGCGAGATCCAGCGCATGGCGGCCCCTGCCCCGGCCGCTGCCTCAGTGTCCGGATCTGGATGTGGTCGCCATCCAAATGCAGAGAAGGCGCTTCTTCTCCTGACGGAGATGACGAGACGCCAGGATACAGGCGCGTCACGGACATGGGCGGACTCGAAGTGTGTACGGCGCGAGCTGTTTGTGGATTTTTTCGTTATGATATGACTGGCGCCTCGCCACACGGCACGACCGTATATGTATATCCATTCCGCAGACGCAAATCTGTATATATCATATCTTGCAAGCTGCATTGCATAGTACCATATCATACGGAGCCATACAATGTTAGAAAACTCCTACCCTAGAGGCTAGAACTGCTTCACAACCCTCGTCAACCGCGGCGGCTTCCGCATAAACGTCTCCCTCCTGCCCTCCTCCCTCGCACCCCCCTTCCAATAATCATACTCCATCCACGCATTCTCCACCATCTGCGCCTCGGTGGCCTCCAAGAACTCCCCCAGATCCGGATTCAGCGGAATCACGCCCGTCTCAAGGACATACTGGTCCCAGAGCTTCAGCAATTTTTGCATCCGCTCCGGATATACCTCAGACACATCGTTAATCTCGCCGGGGTCCTCGACGAGGTTATACAGCTGCCAGCGCTCCGGACCCTTCGGTTTGGGTATATACACGATCTTCCAGTTCCCGAAGCGCAGCGCTGCACGCCCGCACGTTTCCCACCCCTGTATGAAATCCTCTTCGTGGATGCGGGCGCTCTCTCCGACAGCCCAGGCCGCGAAGGATTTCCCGCGCATGTGCACGATCTCGCGCCCCTGGTAGTTCGGCGCGGGGTGAGCCACGCCCGCCATGGCTAATATCGAAGGCGCGAGATCCATGACCGTCGCGAACTGATCGCTTATCGCGCCACCAGACGCACACGCCGCTGTCGCCATTGAAGCGGGAAACTTCGCGAGGAACGGAACACGCACGCCCCCCTCCGTCGTGTACGCTTTATACAGGCGGCTCGGGGCCGTCGCAGCCTGTGCCCAGCGCGGGCCGTACCAGATGAAACTATCGCCGTTCCCCAGGTTCTCGAGGCTATTGTCGTAGTACTTTAGGAGGTGGGGGAGGACGCCGCTCTGCACGAGCGGGTATGCCTCGTAGGCGGCGCCCTCGGCGCCGTTGTCGGACATAAAACAGACGAAGGTGTTGTCGAGCTCGGAGATGGAGGCCAGGTAGGAGGTTATCTTGCCGACGTTGGCGTCGATGCACTCGACCATTCCGGCGTAGACTTCCATTGCGCGGCTGGAGAGGCGCTTTTCGTGTTCTGTCAAACTTTCCCAGGGCTTGCCTTCGCCTTCGTCGACGACGACCGGGTGGGCTTGGACGTCTGCGCGGATCATGCCGAGTTTCTTGAGGGCTTCGAGGCGTTTCAGGCGGAGGGCGTCGGGGCCCTCGTCGTACACGCCGCGGTAGTGATCGATGTACTCGCGCGGAGCCTGGAGCGGCCAATGCGGCGCCGTGAAGGGGAGGTATGCGAAGAAAGGCCGATCCTCATCTTCCTTCTTAAGGTTCTCCGCATGCCACTCCTCCAGGTACATCTTCATGCGATCCCCATACCCATCCGAGCTATACCACCCCTGCGGCAAAGCATCAAGATACGCATCATCCTCCATATGGAGCGCAATATAACTCGCCTCCAAGAAAGTCGGCGTCTCATCGCCCCCAGCCAACTGCGGCTCAAAGCCATAATGATTCGAGCAAGCGGGCAAATGCGCCAGACTGCGCTCGAACCCGCGTCTACACGGCGCCCTCTCCGGCGTCAGGCCAAGATGCCACTTCCCACTCATCACCGTGTGGTACCCCGCGTCGCGCAGGATCTCCGGCAGCGCCGCAACCCGCTCATTCAGGTACCCCTCGTAGCCCGGCATGCCGCGCTGGGGCGCGGTGTCGGTGCTGGACCCCTTCGGGCCGTTCTGGCCGCTGATGTTCGTCCACTCGATTAGGTTGCCCAGGCCGGCGATGTGGTGGTCTGTTCCGGTCATGAGCATGGCGCGCGTGGGGCTGCAGGCGGCGGCGGCGTGGAAGTCTGTGAAGCGCACGCCGTGGGAGGCGAGGGCGTCGATGTGCGGCGTGTGGATTTCGCTGCCGTAGCAGCCTATGTCGGAGAAGCCGAGGTCGTCGGCGACGATGACGAGGAAGTTGGGGCGTTTGGGTTTAGCCATCGTAGTGATAGGAGTGTAGTGTTGCTATCGGAGACAAACTGGGTGGGTGACGTTCCATGATGGAGATGCACGTTGACTATATGTATGGCTCTGTTGGTAATCATCGTCTATCGGCTGTCGGCAGCGGAACTGTTCAGATGGTATTCTGGATGGTCCGTTGAGGGAGAAGTTGTCAGGGCGCGGGGGGATGGTGCCATCTCGGCCCTCGGCTGCTCTGCCGTATGAAGCATCAAACACGCTCATTAGGCGACAGAGTCAGCTTGTATCCATGACAACAAGGTCTGCTAAGCTTCAGCATCAGAAGATACTGAAAGTGGATCAAAAGAAATAACACTCGAATGTGTCCTATTGTGACAATTCCATGCTGACAGTGGTGTCCTTGCAAGTATATACAACATCTCAACAACCTCCTTCCGTGTTATTCAAACTCTCCAATAGCCCGCATTTTTCCCATGATACAAGCATTGGAATGTTCATACTTGTGCTCGGCTCATTAGAGCACGGCAGCGTGAGTGGCCTCGATAGTTATCGCGTCGACAACGCCGTTGAAGATGGGGACAGAGATAGACGTGATATAGACCTACATAGATACATTATAAACATGATACTGTACTTGATATATTTCTGTACATATCCTATACTAGACCTAACGTATATTGCGAGTCCAGATACGATTGGCAACCGCCAAACAGCGAGCTAAGTATTCGTGCTCCTGCGATAGATAAAGTCCGCCGTAAACCACCATGCCATAACCCCGAACTCCGAACCGGAACGAAAATAAAAGTACACGCCTGCTTGCTAATGGAATAAACCCGCCATTGTCACTGAAGCCGATCAAAACCCCCACGCTTTTAAGTCACAGCGGCCAACTCCAGTGTAAGTTCACACAATCTCAGTAAAGCAGCTCGTAATTCATCAATGATCCTCCAGAGCACCACTGTGGTGAGATGCCCAGTACAAAATATTCACGCCGCTGGTGGGTGGGCATCGAAGTCAAAGCCAGCGGTCCTCTCCGAGCCACGTCGGTAATAATGTGCCGGGGTAGCCCCAAAATCAGGGTGTTCGTGCTGGACAGTGATGTTCTGTGCCATGTTCTGAATGTACTGCTGGATGGGCTCGTGGCCGCATTCAGAGTGAGCAAGAAGCTGGTCCTTTGCCACCACGATCTGGTCCCTCAACAAGTTCACTTGGCGAGTCAGCTCCTCGTTCTTGATCTTCTCCTGCTCGTATCTGGTCTCCAGCATGTTGTTCTGCTCCTTCTTCTTCTGGCGGCATTTGCTGGCCGCTAGTCGGTTCCGCGCCCTCGTCTTCTCCTGTTTATCGTCACCCGGGGATGAAGGCTCAACCGAGGTTGATGCTCTAGTACTGCCTCGGCTGCCACCGCGGGAGGCACGACGGCGCTTTGGTGCCTCCGACGAGCCTTCAAGGTTCGATTCGAGGTATGCGGACTTGGAGTCGTGCAAGGGAACAGAATAGGCGTTTGCTGGCGACTGGTCTGACGGAGGGGTGATCTGGCCATGACGGACCCGATACGACCCCTGGTCGAGCTGGACTCCATCCGAGCTTCGCCGGCGATTGCTCGGATGGTGCTTGGCGGTCATATCAAAAGGCTGGTTGGCCAAGTAAGCGTGCATGTCGTTGGCACCGCTCGTGGCAATGCATGATGGGTTGATGGTAGGAAGGGTGGTGGGATCAGGGGACCAAATGTTGGAGTCCTCCGAGAGGCTGAAGGGGTTGCCGGCGAGGTTGGGAATGTCCGAGGGGTACAGAGAAGGGTGCAAACGCTGCATCTCGGAAGCCGAGATGGTGTCAGCAGTGCTGTAGACTCCTTGGTGAAGGAAAGTGTCGGGGCGAGACATTGTGGCCAAGCTAATCAAGGCGGAGGGGATGGCAGAGTTGAGGGGTCACGACCATGGAAGTCCTCACGGTTGCAAGACAACAATAACAACAACAACAATCGGGAGTATCGGTAGGGACGGTCTGTGGGTAGCTGGAGATGATTGAGATGGTGTGATGGTTCAATTGATGGGAATGCTCAAGATGGGAGATGGAAGTAGGAAGACGGATGGCAATGAAGGGAAGGAGGGATAGACAAACGAATACAAGGAGGAGGACAATACGGGGTAGCTGGCCTTGGAGTGTCGCGGATGAAGGATCCGCGTAACAAGGCCTGCCAATGACTATGCCGCCCGATCGCAGGGTGCATTGACATCATCACTGGGATGGAATAGCTCAGGAACGGAGAGAGAGAGAGACTGAGAGACTGAAAGACTGAAAGACAGAGAGCTCGCTGCTAAAACGTCATCGGAGCAGCTGCGGGCGCTGATTGGCGGTTCAGGCTCCGTGGCAGGCTGGCAGCTGCGCCCAAACGGTTCCCAGCAACTCCATAAAGCCGCCGAAGGGCCCGGAGAGAACAGCCGACAATCAGCTGCGCTCGATCTACAGAGCTTACCTGGAGGCCGCCAGACATGACCAGAATTCACCAGAAGGCGTGGGGCTATAGCTCGCTACCCTGTTGATAACCGGCTTGAAACCTGTTCTGCCCGCCTTGGATGAGACCCCTCCGTGTCCACTCCTGCTACAAATCCTGCTCTGGCGCAGTGCCTGCTCTTTTTTCGTTATATGCCACTGTTTTATTATTATTGATAGACTACACTATCGCATCTGAGCCAGCCGCAAGGTTCGCCAGTGTCGGCGTTCCCTACTTAACCAAGGCGTTAGTGGCGATCCTTCCCCCGCCCAACGCATGGCCCGGCCGGTCTAGATTGATCTGTGCTCAAGCTCCAGCAGTGACGCATTCCGAACCGTTCTCCCAAATCCCCTCATCCGCCGAGCTAATCTATATACAATCTCTCTGCTGCGTCTCCATCTCCACTGCTTTCTCGCTGTCGCCGCTGGCCGCCCGCGCATGTGCCCGTGCCTGCACACGCCCTTCCAGTCCGCGCCGCTCCCAGATCCGCAACTGTCGACTGACGCTGCGCCAGTTCTTGATCAAAAGCGTCACCACCCGCTGGCTTTCAATCTCCTCGTGGATCGCCTGGAATGCGTGGGTCTCGTCACTCAGCCCCGTCTCAATCAGAAGCGGTGCGAGTGTCGCGGCGAACCGGTCCAAGCTGAGCTTGTCTGCGTTGCTGTAGATACGCCGACTGACTCGTCGCTGCCGTCGCTCGATCTCAAGCATTCGCTCAGTCTCGTGGATCAACAGAGAGCAAAGCCCAAAGACTCCACAAATGAGGTTGAGTTGCATTGAGCTGGTAAGTGCTACGAGTGCCAAACTAATCGCTCGAACTTTGGCGTAGTCTTCTGCCGACAGCCCTGCGAGGCAGCTACCAGTCCGCTGCACCGACTGAGAAGAAATGCGTCCATGATGGATGTTCACCAGTGTTCGGTATAATAGCACGGAACCGAGTATGCCGCCAGGCAGCCCTGCCAACAATGCCATGAAAGTAGATCCGACGCTGAGGACATGAGAGGTTTGCGTTTCGTCTGACCTGGAGACGTCATCCAGGAACTCAGGCATCTTGCTGATTCTCATCGTCATATGAATCTTACTCTTATCCTTCTCGGCAGATAGCACCTGCTGGGCAAAGAAGTGGTATATTTGAGTAGCCGTCTCGAAATCTCCAGGGTCGACAAACAGATTTTGTACCGGGGTAGCTATTATCAATTAGTTCGGATCATAATGTGGGCCGGAGTGCCATACCATAAGTACGCAGGTAGTTTATGGTCGCCACAAAACACACTGGCAGGCTCAGCGTCGTCGGTGCGAAATCACCCGGAAGTGTCAAATAGCTATAGCCACCGAGTCTGGCCAGGGTTTCCAGCGGCTTGTTCATCAGCGACGTCATGAGGTGCGGGCGATCGGGCAGCGCAGTAAACGTTTTCATTCGACGTAAGTTGCGTGTCCGGGGCATAGCCGGCTCAGATCTGATGTGCATGGTGGACCGCATTATTCGAATTCGACCAAGCAGCCTGTCTCGTCGCCGTTCTAGCCGATCTGATGCAGCAAACAACCCGTCTGCTACAGCCGTCAGATCCCACCAATGAACTTCAAGATCGTAGGAATACTTACTGGTCTTATTGTCAGCCAAAGGTTCCAAAAATAGCGCAGATGCTAGTTTATTGAACGCTTCGCTGGCCATTTGTCTATCGGAGGCTGATGGCCAGCCGTGAAACCCAGCGCAGCCCCAGCTTGAGTGTGACGAGTTACTTAAGGAAAGAACATTTCCCGGCAACGAGGAGAAAGGGTTTTCTGAGCCACTGTATCCGGAGCTTGATCGCTCTGTAGAGTCGCTTGTCTTTGCTTGCGGTTTGAACGGGTTACTGAGCTGCGTTTCGGAGCGCGAGGCTTCGGAGCGCGAGGCTTCCCAGGCGTCATCAAAAGGGTTCGGATGAGCGAGTTCTCGATCAACGACGATAATCGGCATCGACATGCGCTTAGAGGGATGATGACAGACGGTGATGTTTGTAGTATTTGAGTTCACGGACTTCTCAGTCTTATCGCTGACTTTTCGAGCCTCGTCATCGGGTATAGGAGCTTTGAGCGGATTAGGGGACTGAGCGGAAACTGCAGCTTGGCTGTCTTTGGCTTCAATATCAATAGTCTCTTCGGAAGTCGGGGTTGAGCAACGAGCGCCCTCACTAACACAATCATCCTCTGCGACTTCGTCTTTGGCGATTGTGAAATTGAGCCTTTGCCGTCGATGTCTGCGGCCACGAAAGAGAGTCTTCAAGCCTGCGATGCGTCGCGAAAAGGACCCTGTATTCGGTCCTACCAATGTCAACGGCTCCAAGGCTCCGCTGCTAGGAACGTCCGAGTTTGTTTGAGGCTGTTGGCCGGAGGGTTGCGTGCGATTCTCTTTTTGCGATGAATGACTGTCCGAAGCAGCTTCCTCGCTGGTGATAAATCCTTTTCGAGTGTCCTTGGGTACATCTGGACCCGTTTCTCTTGCTGAGTTTATTCTTTGCTGGCCAGGCTGGGTGGCATTCGATTGTGGTCGGCTAATCAAGGTCCAAGATGGACTGGTGTCAGAAGCGTGACTGGCTTTCCCCGATGACCAGGAAAATATGCTGAGACGCCCCATCCTGCTATCCAAGGTAAAAGTGAGGACGGGCGTAGGAATGTAAACCACTTAATCGCCAGACTCGACTTTCGACGACATCGGTGCGCAACATCGCGAAACATCAGTGGCACTTGAGTCCGGCGCGGGCTGTCCACGGGCAACCGTCGCCCCTTCCTCATCGTGCGCGTATGTGCCACCCCAGAGAAGCCACGACCAAGGCCTTTGTATAAGGTGAGGGCCGTAAAGCCGTAATTCCTAGAAAGTCATAGTTGACCTATGATGCAAGCCAGCCAGCCGCCCGGGCACAACCGCCGCCTACCTCATACAGGATAAGTATAAGAAATACAAGAGACACGTGAAAGACTCATACAACACATGCGTAAATCATCATGAGGTGATCGTGCAATGACAGAAATCTATTTGCAAGCCAAACGCCGATGCTAGACTGTTGGCTGGCTATGTACTCCTCAGCAAGAGGGCAAGCCGAACGAATCAACGGTGCGATACCTTCATCCCTCCGAACAGCAGGTCCAGAATATAGAACATTGAGAATGAGCCAGCCATTCGTCCACCGACAGGCCATATCGAGTCGTCTCTGGCCTGACCTGTGAGAAACAAAACGCCGTTCCGATGCAAGTTGGGTTATGTAGGAGACCTGGAGGCCTGTCTTGATCATGAGGTTTCGTCACCTTCGCCTTCTAGCAGAATATATTGTAAAATATCGCTCAGTGTAAGCACGCCTTTTAATCGGAAATTGTCGTCTACCACGACAAGGCGATGTACGCGAGACTTGCGGATTGTATCGAAAATAGTATCTAGACCGTCGTTTAGCGAGCAGGTGTAAATTCCGGGGAAGTCCTGCGAGCGCGGTCAGCAAATTCTTTTGAAAACATGAACTCAACGCGTACCGAAGACCGCTTCTTCAATGCTTCGCCTACTGTGAGGCTTAAATCGTCATAGGCACCACCTTTGATTAAGGTGACGACATCAACGGATTCGAAAACATTGTATACGACGCCTGTATCGGTGTTAGAAGGTTGACGTATATGTTGTAAAGATAATGCATACCTTCCGAGTTTACAATGGGTACGCTAGAAATACTCTTTTGGACCAGTATGTGAATCACGTCAATGACCGGCGTGTCCATCGACGCGGTCGCAATGTCATGATAGGACCCTAGCCGGATTTCTCCCAGGGGTTTCCGTAGTTTCTGCGTATCACTAACGTTGACGGCCACGAATTTCAGGATTCGGTACTGGGTTATGACGCTGAGGACAAGGTGGCGATCTGTCTGGCTATCATTGGTGACAAGCGGAATCCTTCGAGCTCGGGACTCGAGCATGCGCCGGCAAGCCTCATACAGCGGTCGCTCTGGATCAATAGATATCGTCTCTGGGGGAGCAACGTCCAATGCCCTTTCCACCTCTATATCCCTTGTCAGTCCGGCGCACAGCAACAGGATGGGTTTCACAACACCAACCTCGAAGGCTATCCAATCGAAGTTGGTCTATCTTGTCGAGAGCCGCAGGGTTCTGGAAGTAGTATTGAATGACGTTGATGTAATCGGAGGTAGTCAGAAGGCCGGCGAAGGTGGACGATTTGGAATCCCATAATGGCGCGGAGACAATTCCTACCATGCGTGCGTCAGCGCTCGGCCTCATTTGCGTCCCCGGGGGAAGAGTCTGCAACTATCCGCAGACGTACCGTTCTGGGTGAGGATGTTCAAGCTCTCTTTCACTGTCAACGCGGTGTCGAAGACGATGAGCCGGAAACTTAGAGGAAGGACATCATAGCTTGTGCGGACCTTGAGGAAGTTGCGGATGGCACGCTAAGATAACAAACTCAATTAGCCGCGACCTCGGACATGGTATTGACGAACATGAGCCATTATCAATGGACGATAAGCGGTTCAAGCAAATGCGGGGAGCAGCGCGATCATCAAGACGCCTACTCTCCACAAGGAGAAGAAGGTCTGACGTATGCAAGACATTCTCGGGAAGGACAAGACAATCAAGCCACCGGGTGAAACAGGCCGGCATGCGAAAGAGCGAAAAATAAACTTACTAGGCCTTGTCGCTCTTCCCGATCGATCGCCCTCTCAGGCTGAGTTGCGGGCATTGGATATGAAGGACGACGTGATCGGAGATAGGAGGAGGGCTGGACGAAACCACCCTCGTGACCACAGATTGCGAGGGGAGGAGGAGGGTGAGGGTGAGGGTCGGAGAGGGGGACGGGCGGGAGCGTGCTGACCGAGCAAAACGTGGAGGAACGAGGGTCGGGGTCGGGGTCGGGATGGGTGGCAGAAGGAAGAGCAGCGCTGGCAGTGGACGCCGTGATGGCGGTGGTCGTGGTGTCGTTCGCTGGGGGCGGCAGCCCGGATCCGGAGCAGGAACCGCTGATTCTGCCCGTGGCCCCACGATGCTGTTGCTGGTGTTGACGATGCGAGCTGCCTTCCGACACAGACGCCATCTTATCCTTGAGCCAGCGGCCGGCAGCAAGTCCGCATATAGAATCCGCCTTGGGTCGAAAGAGGGGTAACTACTCCGTGCACGCCTAACTGGCTGGGGTCTGCAGGGGTTGAGGCAGCAAAGACGAGCAAACTACTCCGTCTAGACAACGAGGTACAGAGCAGGTCACGGATACGCCGCAGAGCTTCAGAGGGAAAGGAAGCCAGGGAGAATGGAGCGTGTAAGCGTCTGAAATAAAACTGTTACAGCGTTATGCTTGATATCTACTGCATCGATTCGCCAATGATGCTTCCACGCCTAGCTTAGCAGCACAGCATAAGGAGGGGTAGAGGGGCACTGCCAGACAGCCAGACGGCCAGAGTACTAATAGACTGCACATCCTTCCTGTTCCTAATCTCAAAGCCACTATTCTTTGTTCTCAACATCATCATCTCTACAGAGAAACCACGATGGTCCTCTATCTCGTCCTCAATCAGAGCTGCCACTTTCTTTGCGGCCTCAGGCCTCCACATCCGAGCCCCGCAATTCCCGCACGTGATCCGTCTCGAAGACCCTCGGACCCCACGCTGATGCTCTCTCCATCTTTCACCTCCACTCCGTCTCTACAGACAATCCTCCATCAAGTCTCGACGAAAAATCAGAACCAGAACTGTTTTGCAACAAAAACTGTCAGTCAGCAGAAACGCAAGCTACGAATTGAGTTCACAGCGGGGAGAGATGGCCAGGCGGAAACACTTTGGAGAAATCATGTATCTACAGCAACGGCGCGCCATTGATAACTCAGCCAAAGCAATATCACGACGTTTACGATTCCATCTTTCTGAACTATGTATAATCTTCTAGAATTTTGATCAGCGGCCCTCCGGAGCCTAGCGAGAAATCTCCGATGGACTCTACTGCATCAGAGTCACGGGCACTACTTAGTAGTTACTTTGAGCCTGGGTATGTCTGGTTGCAATGTAAGCATGTGTCAGAGGTCGAGCTTCATGGGTGATAACACATACAGGTTGTTTCGCTGGCGCATCGATCCAAGCACCCATTCTATACATCGCATGATCCGCTGGCGTCAGGCGAGTACTGTATCCCTTGCCATCCTTACAGTCGAACAAGAAATTCATCGGAAACAAAGGGTTAAACGGCGCAGCCTCTTGTATTGACCGGACCTCTTCAGGCGAAAGCTTGACCGTGATTGCGTCGTTCATGACCTTGACGTGGTCCGTCGTCTGGACGCCAACAATGGGAACCACATAGGTCGACTGGTGGAACAAGTATGCCAGGGCCTGGCTCACATTTAGCTCGGCATCAGTGGAAAGAATCGGGGTTGATAACTCACAATAGCTTGAACAGTGGACCCCTTTGCAGCAGCAACCTTCTCCAAGGCCTCTGATACAGCAAGCTCGTGCGGGCCTATCTCGTAAAAGCTCTTCTGCCCGGCGAGCTTCTCCTCGCGCTCCTTTCTCTGCTGGGAAGACAAGAGCAGTCCCCCGCCGAGTGCTGCCCAGGGGACGACTGCCATGCCCTGGTCCTCGCACATGGGGATGATCTCGGCTTCCATGTCGCGGAACGCCGCGTTCCATTTCCCTTGATAGATCGAGAATGGGGTGAGACCGTTCTTCCGGGCGACTATCAAAGTTGAAGTTAGCAAAGAAGAAGGCAACGGGACATATGCGATATAAACGTACACTCATTGGCTTTGACAACCACCCAGGCCGGCGTATCAGAAACCCCCAGGTACAGCACCTGCTTCGACATGACATACGAATGCAGATGAATCATGACTTCTTCGACAGAGGTATGAAAGTCCCACCTGCGCGCACAACCACCCATCAACATCAACCGCTGAAGCCCAGCACCAACACCAAGATAGAGGTCAACTCACCAATGCACATAAAGCACATCAATATAATCCGTCCTCAACTTCCGCAAACTATCCCTAACAGAAACAAACATCGACTTTGCCGAATTGCCAACAAAGTTACTCTGCATCGGCTCGTTCTCCCGGTTCCAACTGCGGTACTGCGCCGTGTACTTGGTCGCGATGACCATCTGGTCTCGCACCCCACGCGCCTCCATCCAAGCCCCAATATGCTTCTCTGACTCTTCACTGTTGTACACGTTCGCCGTGTCGATGAAGTTCCCGCCCTGTGCGTAGAACTCATCGAGAAGTGCAAAGGGGTCCTCGCTTACGCCGAAGAGCTCGCTCCATTCGTTGCCGAAGCTGATTCCGCCGAGGCAAATGGGAGATACCTTGACAGAGGCTGTGGGGGAGAGCGCGCGGTGGTAGGCGAGCGGGGTAGCGGGCTTGGGAGGGGGGTTGAAGAAAGACATTTTGTTCTGCTGCGGATGGGAGCGAGAATTGACGAGCGGTATTTGGGTACTGTTTGCAGTCATCTGCGTCTTTATATAGCGGTCTCGGGCTGCTAAAGGAACGGCGTCATGAGACTCGAATGCTCAAACTTTGCTGAGTCCCCGCTGCTCCGCATACTGCTTATGCTGTAGGTCCATGTGAGAGGCTTACTACTCCAGTCCAATATCGATTTTAGGCAACATATGGGTGATATCCATACATTGAGGCATGGAATCAAAGTGGAGCAGATAAGCAACCTGCATTAGCTCCGGGGCGATCTGCCTAACACCCCTCCGCGGACCAATCACCTTTCAGTTTCATGAACTATGCGATTTCATCCATGGATCGAGATTCGAGAGTCGAACTTGAACCTCAAGCGATCCAGATCCAACCATTCCAGCCTAGGAGGGCTGGGGCGACTCCCAAGGAAGCGTTAGTCCCACTAGATACTTGCGCCGTGCTCCGAATTGTTGAAGCAGGCCATATACCTTGTTTAGAGCTCCCTGACTATGGTCGTCACGGCTCTCGGTGACAGGAATATAAAACCGAAACACACCCCAGACATCGGGAGCTGGACCGTGTCTCTCACGAGGACACGGGGCAGCCGTTTAGGCTGGACTCGCCGAAGACCCTGGAACAGGGGATTGCGATAACGTCTGTTGCAGCGCTCTCGCCCGAGCTTGAGATGAATGGTGCGTATCTGGCGGATTGTCAGGTGTCTGATGCTAATGATTACGCGAAAGACCCGGGCATGGAGGAGTTTCTGTGGGAGCTTAGTGAGGAGCTTGTAGGAGGGTTTGAACCTCCAGAAGCTTAGTTTGAACGATTTGGACGAGAGAAGAGAATATTCTTTTCTATTCTATTCTACCAAACAGACGCAGACGCAGACGATATAAGATGCCAAAAACAAAGCTCAGCGGCCAAGGTGGGTCAAAGTTCATCAGAAGTCTAATCATTAAATATAGTATGCAGCATGTATGGGTATGCTTCGCTCCACTCCGCAATTGTTCCTTAAAGCCCAGTTCACGAAGCCTCAGCAGTGGCAGTGACGGTCGCAGCGCTCTCCCGCTGGGACACACTGGGGCTAGTACCAGTCTTGAGGTAGTGCTCGTACTCACCAGTCCGCTTCCCACCCTTAACCCAGCGCTCACGGTACTCCTTCTGCTTGATCTCGGCGAGCTTGTTCAGCGCAGGCCAGTAAGCGGCGTGGTCGTACTTGAACTCAACCTCGCCGCCGACGGACTTCATGAGCTGGGTGGGCGGGACGTGGTTGGAGAGCTTCTCGTTGAACTTGAGTTTCTCCCGCGTAACGGGGTCCAGGAAGGGGGTGACGATTTTAAAGAAGCCCATGATAATGAAGGGCACTAGAACCGTTAGCAAAGCACAGTGGGCTTATTAGATCCAGAAAACTCACTGTTGATAACCAACGCCCTCCCCAGCCTCTCAGGGTAATGGTTCTGCAGGAAGTGCACCGTATCCTTCGCCTGTCCAATGCTAGCATTCTGGCCGGACTTCGTCTGGCTATAATCCACGATCAGGGCGAGCGTCTCCTGGTCCGCGGGCATAAGATCAATCGCGCGCTCAAGCATAAACACCAGATGCTGCACCTGGCGATCGCTCTTCTCGGTATTCTGGTTCGAGGGCAGAAGATACAAACACGGCCGGCCGTGGATGTCGTACCCCAGCAGCACCTGCTTCCCTGTCTCGTTCTCAATGGAGATATAATCCGGCGTCAACTGCTCAAGCCCGTACTCGCGGCGCCAGGTAAGCGTGCGCTGTAGCCGGGCGACGGCCTCGGGGGCATTCCATTTCGTGGCGCGCAGGTAACGGAGCAGGCACTCGCGGGTGAGGAACATGCGCTCGTCGTCTGTTACAGGTTCGGTGGGGGAGTTCTTTGCCGCAGTAGTTGGGATGGTCGCCCACTCGGAGACAGACTTCAGGACAGTCTCATACTTGGCTTGTTGGTCTGCTGTCAATTGGGCGGGGGCGGTTGGTTTCGCGCTCTCGACGGGGCGGGGGAAGGGCTTTTGGATGAGGCCGTCGGCGGCGGAGGTGGGGAGGTTTAGGCTGTCGATTGTCTCTATCTCTGTCTCCTGGAGTTGCGGAGCGGGAGCTGCGGCGGGCTGTTCTTGAACTGGAGGCTCTGCTGGAGGTGCGGGTGCGGGTGCAGACTCAGTGGCAGGAGGTGTAGGTTGGGTCTCATCGGAGACCTGGAGCTTCTCAACATCGGCTGCTACAGCGTCGCCATTAACTGGAGGTGCAGGCTGAGCTGGAGCTGGAGCAATGGTCGCAGCTGGGGTGTCTGTTGAAGCGGTGGACATATTGTCGAGGAATGCAGGAGCAAATGAACGGAATTGAGTTCCAGAGATAGAACCACCTGAGCAAACACGCAATTGACCGAACTGTGGATTGGGCTGGGGAAAGTTTGAATTTAAAGGGGTCTCCACGGCTCAGCTCATGCGATGTTTCCTTCGTGTCTTCCGAAAAATGAAGCTTTGTTTGATTGGTGCCTTGTGTACTGTACGTAGTGAGTGATGATCGTCAGGACAACATTGCGTAGTGCTGCATAACTCTAATGACTAATTATGCCGATTGACTCTTATCTTAGCGTCTCGAAGCTCGGGCTTCTGGATAGCATCAACAACTCACATCACAAACAGTGAAAATAAACCCGAAAAACACAGCCAGAATGGTACAAATACCCTTATCTCCTCATATTTATCAATACTAACTTACCCACTCACAGAGCAAAGACTCCTCCCCAACCCACATCCACATGCACCACCCCCGGCTGGCGGACTACTTCGAAGACTTCACACGCCCACACACAAGTCAAACCGCCTCTCTGGCGTCCTCTACCTCCTCGACCCAGCACATGTACAATAACCACACCGTAACGTACGGGTCCTCCTCACCGGCGCTGGTCTCCTCATTCCTGCCGATCGAGGACATCTACCTCGCGCAGCAGTACCAGCCGCCGAACCCAGAGGACGAGGACGACGTCGTCCCTGACCAGCACGCGGCGTTTGGTATTACGAGGGCGATGGAACGGCGCAGGGAGACTGTGTGGAGAGACCTCGGGCTTGAGACGCTGGTTGCCAATGGAGGAATCAGTGGGAAGGGGAATGGACCGGCCAAGGTCAGGGCCAAGAATGCGGGGAGGTTGATGGGTGGGAAGAGGGTTGTTTGTTTGCGGTGAATCTGTCTCTTTGATGATTCTGGATTGCTGCTGTTGGTTGGCGGAGGAGCAGCGATTGACTTTGCCTGACTTGAGCTTTGCGACTATTGATACCCCCAATGCGATTTTGATGGTCATTATCATATCATTATTTGAGTCAACGCTCATTATACATTTACAAAACTATCTTTATATGCGGACAATATCCACGCGCGTCCGTTCGTATAGTTTGTGGCTTATGTTCTTCTGCTCCCGTTCTTCTTCGGCCACGCGGCGCGGATGGATGGCCATCTGTGCGTAGGTTCCTGCTGCTCGTCGCTTGGAGAGTGTGCCGGGGTTTATTGTGAGGATGCTGTCGACGACCTGTTGATGGTTAGTAGTCATCAAACTAGAGCAAAACGCAGATCATACCTTAGCAAAGGGCGGCAGAATGCTAGGGACGATCAAGATATCTGGCCGCACATTCCACCATTCACCGAGTTTGGAGTAGCTAACGTCCATGGCTGCGCCCGTCGCCAGCGCACCCTCAATTCCGGGTTTTGGAAGCGAACTTCTAGATGACGGTGGGAAGATAGGCATAAAGTGTCGCTGTTCAATCAGGTACTTCACCAGACGCGGCAAAAGGCCGTCTTTCGGTTTCCCGTGCCATGCTTCTTCCCTGCGCAACTCGTCCAGCACATCATGCGAGCACAGTCCAATGACTGTCTCGTTCAGGGAAAAGGTTACAGGGTTAGACACCATACGAACCTGCTTGGGTAACCCGAGTTCCTTTTTTGGTAGCTGCTCCTGTGGCCATGAGACGTGTTTGCTCACGGCGTCCCGGACGGACGGGACAAGCGCGATTGTGATGCTCGGGACAGTCGCAGCGAGTTTCTGCAACGGTGTGGATATGAAGTGCTTGAAGACGGTAGTAAGTGTGGCCGTGTCCGGGTCAATGTTCTCTGGAAGGTCGAAATCGCCCGCTGCCAGCAATGGGTGTTCGAGGTCCAGGAAAGGGCCCATGAGGATAAGGCCATCTGCGTAGCTCTCTGCGGCCTTTTGGCATATCTCCTTCAACGGCTCAAAGTCAAGATTATCGTCTGCTGTGTAAGGCCCCGAAGCGACCATTACATTCAACGGGGAAGAGCCTCCTTCTAGTATTCGCTCATTTGTACTCTCAATGGTGGGGATGGACGACACAGCTGGCGGTAGAAGAGGTGGCGGCAGAACTTCTTTGACCGAAAAGTACTTCCCTGACGCATTGATTCCCAGCAGGGCGACAATCTGTCCAGGGAAGAAGTTCACAGTGGGAATGGAGTCCACATTCAACGGAACCCTCCTACCGGCTCCCGTGCGTCTCGACGTCTCCAGCACAAGCGATGCCGGATTAAGCTTCCCTTCTGAGCTGTCAGAGGCGATGCGCCCAACGGCAACAATCTCGCTCGTGCTCTGGACAGCGGCGCTTCCGAACGTGATATCCTCCTTCTCATACTTCTTCTCGAATATGGCCATGAACTCGTCAATCCGATCATCCAGAATCTCAGACGCTTCCGAGAGTCGCATAGCCATGGGCTTATACCCGAACTTTTTGAGATCTGTGTTCGCGGCCGGGCGAATGCGAGGCTCCGAGAATGGCGCCATGGGTGTTTCGGGCATCGACAGGTGCTCGTTGATAGTTTCAACCGTTTGACCGGGGTTCTGGCGCTCGGAGAACGGGACAGACCTAACAAGTCAGCCATTACCACACCGCGCAGAACTCAAAGCAAAACATACTGTAAGCCCTCCACACCACCACTCGCAACCTTTGGCCTCGCGGCAACCGGAGAATCAACCTTCTTCACAACCGACGGCGACGAGAATTCTGCCTTCCTCTTAGCAGCCGGTGTCCGCACAGGTGTCAATCCGTCCAGCCTATTCCATGCAAAATCAAATCAGCAACCACCGCTTTCATGACTTCGAACGGAGAATAGACATCAAGACATACATCCCAAAAACATCCCCCGCACCGGCGCCTCCTCCAACATTCACATCCCTAGCCCTCGGCGTCGCCGTGGCCCCACCGCGCTTCTCAACATGCTGCCGTCCCCTGGCCTGCCGTTCCAAATTCTCCTGCACATCGCGCTTGAACAGCCTAACAGTTTCGAGATCGAGCTTCGTCTCCTCAGAGCCCATTCGCAGGCAGTACGACTCCCATCGGTAAAACAGTTCTTGCGCGGTAATGTCGTGGACGCGCATGATTGATTGCAGTTCCCTGAGGACGTCCGCGGGGAGACCGGACGGCGCAGAGGCCGCGAATATCTCGGTCAATTCATCTTTGCTGGAGTCTGTTGTGACACCGGGGTCTTCGGAGAGTAGGGAGCCCATTTCGCTGAGATTGGTATGCTCCCCGGGTTGTTGTAGAGTGGTTTGGTGGAATTGGACTTGGTAGAGGTTGGATTGGGTCCGATAATTAATTGGGGACGCGAAAGCGCGCCTGGACGCGTTCTGCCTACCTTTACCGCCTTTTCGGACCTCACCTTGAAGCACGTGATCCTCATACACGTCTCTGACCAGGAACTCACTACAACAAGTTGGCAGTATGTCTTGAACAAATTGGCAGGCCAATGATTACTACGGACCAATATATCGAGCTTATGCTGCTACCACGAATAAGTTGTCTAATGATGTGAAAGTTCTACGCTCTAATCGTCCACATGCACTCTTGGAAAAATATATATTTCTGGGTAACATGGGTTGCAGTCTTGTTCTTCCACAGTTCTCTGTCACATTCTGATTATTATCTATAGCGATTTATACATCCTTTTCCACATCTTCAACACTAGGAACCTTATTCAACGTCTTCCCATAGAAGTCCGCAACAATCTTCGTACACTCAGCGATAACCTTCACATCCTCCATAGGGACCCCAAGCCTCCTAGTCCCACGAATATGCCAACTCGTCTCGGTGGGCAGATTCTGGCTCATAATGCCGGGAAGCACAACCATCTGCGTATCAACATCATCCAGCACCTGACGGTCACTCAAGAAGAAGCCGTAAGTGATCTCCATACTCAGCCAGGAGAAGTCCTTGTGCGCCGCAAACAGATCCAGCGTGGCGTTGCCGTTCCTCGCATACAGCTTGTTGAACCAGCCAACGCCGCGCTCGTGGTTCGCTTCGTCGCAGGCCCAGCCTTCGCGCGTTGCGGGTGAGTAGTCTTTATCTTCTTCTCTTTCGACCTTGGATATGGCGAGGATTGCTTCGATGGGCTTGCAGACGCCGACGATGATGACGGACTTCAGGAGCGCTTCGCGGAGGCGCCGGACTAGCTGCTTTCTGGCGTCGGAGGTGCTGTAGGCGGGTTGCGAGGTGAGGTAGAGGTATAGCTGGTCGGCGCGTTCAGGGTCTGGGCTGGCAACGAGTGTGGATGTTGCAAGGATAGCCCATTTGTCGGCGGGGATGGAGGTTGCTTGGGCGAAGCGGGATTCCAGTGTTTGGAAGAGGTTTAGGTATTTGGGGTCGATTGTAGGAGCAGCCATTGTGGAGAGGGTTCGTGATGTGGAATGTCTTCGACAAAGCACTTGCTTAGGAGGCGTGTGAAAGGGTGAGAAACACAGTTGAGTGGAATAAAGCTGCCTGGTGAGAGCGAGGCAGAGCAGATCGGTGAGCTGCAGATGGAAACCACCGAGAGGCAACCGGGCCATTCGGGTACTGAAATATGCCGCTGTTCGTGTGCCTCAGTGATGGATCAGCGATACCCTACCCGGTGTAGCCTATCGATTCCTGTTGGTGTATGCAAGCTGAGGGGTGTGCGAGTGGGACATCAAGCTGGATCTGAAGTGGGATGTCGCATCACTACCGAATTCGGCGCCAGGATAGCGCACCTCTGGCATCAGCATCGAAGACAGTAGAGAAATAAGCAATGCGGATACAGTCAGCTCCCACATCGCCTGGATCATTATCGAGCTTGTAGACATCAGGAGTCGGAAGTTCCGGGCCATGGCTCTTGTCCGTCGTGCGGGGTAAGTATAGCTTCACGGGCGAGATGATAGAGACAGAAGTCAGGAACAACACCGGAAACTTCAATCGATCGAGTATCTCCCGGGACTAAAGGTATTCTACGGAGTAAGCGCTTCCTTGCTTACGCCTGTAAACTAGGCTAAATCCAAGTGTCACCAAAAGGCCAAGCTCCAAGGCACGCGACACAACGTCATAGCATCAAAGCTGCCCTGAGTCCTGACATCGATCAGCAAGAAGCCCAGGGAAGCTCACAGGTATGACATTACATCTGCAATCACAGTCGCATACAGCTATCCTCACCGGAGCAAAATCAGCAAACCGACAAGATGTTCTTGCACGCAGCCCCACGTATGATCTCAGTGCTCCAGACCATGATGACATCACCTCTTCGAACCCTACCTATATAGACCAGCTCTGAAAGCGTACGGTAGCTCTTCATCAATTACACTCACATCCATCTCAAACAACTAAATACCCTTCTACGATTCATTAAGAGCCTCTCTCTATCTTAAAACACAACCATACACATCATGTCTTCCTCATCCACTCAGTCCAACGTCGGCCGCGGCGCCTTCTACGAAGCCGGTGACCAGCGCAACGCTCCCCAGTCCGAGATCAACCAGCAGGAGAGATACGAGGCCGGTGAGAAGGCCAGCCACAAGAACCTTGACTCCAGTATGTTTGCCTCTTCCATAGACCCAGCCTTGCGAAGTATGAGGCTAACCAGCATCTTCATCACAGAGGACCAGCGCTCCATCGCCAACAGACTCGCCGCCCAGAGCAAGGAGGACGACCCCTCATCGCACCACAACCGAGACTTCCAGCCTGAGGCTGAACTCAGCAAGAAGGATCCCGTCAAGCCTGTATGTTGCTTATACCAAGTTGAAGACGAGTGAGGATGGTGGCTAATGATGTTGATGCAGGCCAAGCTCCACGGCAACGAGCCTTCAAAGGGCGCGAAGATCGACAAGGAGCTGCAGGAGGACGATGAGCAGCGTCTGCGCGAGAAGGGAATCAAGAAATAGATTTTAATGATGCCACTGTACGATATGATTGACGAGAATTAAATTGCGACATCAAGTTTGACACTTGAAAAAATGGCTTCTTATTATATTCTCATGTCGTGATATACAGTTGTTAAAGTATTATGCGATATGGTACAGCTGGTATCAGCGTCGTCGCTCGTAAATGCGTAGAATCATCAGGTCTGCAACTAGTGCTTCAGGGACTCACTCCCAGTGGAAATCATCATCGTGTGGCTGGGCGAAGACATTGTCCCAGTATTGCTCGACCTTACGGCACGTTTCGTCTTTGGATACCCAGGTCTGGAACTCGACGTCAGGATCGCAGCTGATGGATTTGAGCTCCTCCCAGTACGCCTTTTCAGCATCGTATCCAAACCGTTGGACAACGTCTTCAGGCACAATCCATGCACGTCCGTCAGATCCATCAGGCCGGACTGTCGGTGCAGTCTCAAATTCGGTTCCCCAAAGGTTGCCCCCCGGGTTGAATTTGGGGTAATTGGCATGGATAAAAAATACCCGCGGTGCGTCGGCCACGCTAGGATCGAGCACCCGGAGTAGCCCCTGGCTAACCAAAGACTGATCTTCAATTGGATCGGACTGGGCCATAGCGGACCCAGATAGTCCGTCCGGTGCCGGGTGGCCAACCGCCTGTACCCTCTCGCTCACTGCGTAGAATGGTTCCTTGACGGCAGATGCGGCTTGAAGAAAGGTTTCCTTGTCGCCCTCACCTGGCCCACCTTGTGACAGCAGACGGAAGTAATGAGATGGCCCGTAGTAGTTGTAGTATGCGGATAGTAAAAGCGTCCGCAGATGAGTCTTTTTCGAGATGAAGAGAACACCCGCCTCGGTAGTCTGGCGCCCATTCATAGGGATTTCTGGCTGGTCCGAGATCTGGAAGTAGAGCGGTGATACTGATGATTGCCAGAAGTCAGGCCACGTAATCATGCCTGTTGATTTGAACAAGTCTGAATCAAGCAATAGCTCGGGCTCGTGGAGAGGGAAGCAGTCGGCGTCCATCCAAACGACTTCCTCGAAGGAGGAGAAGAGGACCGCGAAGACCTTCAGTTGGAAGTGCTCAATGGGATCTTTCCCAACCACGTCAGAGAGAATTAGACATCGCGCATTCAGCTTCGGCAGCACATCCTCGCAGATGCTCTCTTCGTACTCGCCGGCATCCTTCATATACACCTCGACCGGTAGGTTCGAGCCGGTACGTCGCAGCATCCGCAAAGTAGCAAGAAAGACCGGAAAGTATTGGCCTCCAGCAGTCGAAACCAATCCGCGGGTACCAGGAGCATGGACAGGCTTGAGAGGTTTGGTATCCTGGATGTCGTGCAAAAACCGCGCGTGGGCATCTCGCATGGCCGACACCCCGGCTTCGTCCATGAACGACAGGTCCGGCCGCACTTCCTCCGTGGTAGCATTGAAGTGGGTAGGCTCGACATTTTCCTCGTGAGATGGCGGAGGGCAATTTGGAGCGTTCGCTTCTAATATCGGCTTGAAGGCTTTCCAAAACACATTTTGGCGTTCGGCAAGAGGCACTTCAAACGCGGAGTTGGGAACTATCACGGAGGCAGGAGCCGGAGTCCAATTGATTTTGAAGACACCGACAACAAGGAACAGCGCGGCGACTATGGAGAGGACCGTCCTCAGCCTACTGCGGCGGATCTTGGGCATAGCTAAGTTCGCACTGGAAAGTGTTGCATGTCTGAGTTGGTGGTCAGGCCGCAATCTCACGCTTTGGGACACAGCATAGAACTCCAGTCTGAGTAGCCGGAGATCTACTTGCAGTAGAAATCTCGATCAGCAGCAGAGAAAGTAATGAACCGATCCCGTTAAACGGGAGAGCTGATACAGAAGGCGGTGGCAGAACCCCTGAGGCTAAGCCACGGCCGATAAGAGAAGGCACGCTGCAGATCATCCTCAGCCATGAGCCACATGGCCCATCTTGCACGCCCGCCAACGGCTTCGAGAGCGCTCTAGACGGCAATAGTTGCCGATGCAGAGATTATTTCGAGAAAGAACGCAGATCTGCATGAAAACTTCGATGAACAGCAACGCTCCGAGATGCCGGACATTATATATCTGGGAGATCCGACAGGCTAACCGTGCTGGTGGACGGAGTGGCGGCACCAACCGCCAAACGTCCCTTATCGCCATCGTCCCAGCCAAAGGCGCGGGTTTGGGTCCTCGCAGCACCCGGAGATTTATGAACTCTATTATATCTGGCACCGCGGCACTCCAATCTTCCTTTTTCTCCTCTTTCCCCCTCCTCCTCCCCTCTTCTCGCTTTCTTCACATCTTCTTCAGCACTTCTTCACCGGCAAAACCTCATCCCATGGACCCCCACAGCGCGGATCGCCTCCGCATCGTCTCCTACCCCCGATAATACCCGGCATTGCCACGGCACGGACTCCCGCTTGGCTCTCCAGACTCCAGTTTAGCTCCTACTATAGGCAGAGAATGTCGCAGACTGCTTCTGCCAAAGTACACAAGYCCCCGCCTTCAACGGCTCCTGTCCGGAAACGGCGGAAGAGGACTGTAGTGACTGGCGCGGCTCATGACTGTTTCACTTGCGCCCGCAATGGCTCGTCGTGCGACCGTCGACGCCCGTACTGCTCCCAGTGCCTCGAAAGCGGGATTGAGTGTGCGGGGTACAAGACAACGTTGACATGGGGCGTTGGTGTTGCGAGTCGGGGAAAGTTTCGAGGCTTGTCTCTGCCGGTGACTGGGGCACAGCCGGCTCCGGGGAAAGGGAAGTCTCGCCGTGCGTCAGGCCACCAAGAGCCCCCATCACCTCGGAATACAGCCGCCCTCCCACCTCAACCCCCGCCTTATACTCAACCTTCCCCGGCTCCGGACACTGCTCCTGAACCTCAATCGACACCGATACCATCACCACAACCCCATGCCGTCTGGAGCCAGCCGAGCCCAACAAATAACCTACACAACCTCTCAATACACACCTTCACCGACTCAACAGACACAGACTCGGTCTCTGCACATGGGAGCTGGACAGGGTCATGGTCTCCATCATATCAGCTACCGCCAACAGCGTGGTCATGCCCGTCCACGGAAGACGCGGAAAGCGACGAAGCCGTTGAGGAATTGCAGCGCCGTCACTCTTATGCCTACCATATTGCGGATCACTCGCCATCATTCTCGCAATTGCTTCTTGCTCGGTCCGTTGGCCGAACACCGCGCCTTCGATACTTGATTAGCTATTATGCAGAAGTCATCGCCCCGGTGATTGTGGCTTTCGATAGCCCGACTAATCCCTTCCGCAATTCTATCCTGCGTATGGCACAAGATAGTATTTCTCTTCAGGAAGCGATTGCGACCTTGTCTACCAGCAACCTGCGACAGAGACGTGAACGGGGTACGTTCTCGACCGGACGGACGGAGCCCGCGCGGATGTCTTCATTAGCACACCGGGCTCTAACGGATACACCGCTACAGGAATGTAAAGATCCATCCATTCCTGAAGGGTTTGTTCATGAAGAGCAGTATCATCGTGGCATGGCGGTCAAGGAATTGAATAAGGAGTTGGCAGATCCGCAGCAAAGGCTCTCGGATTCTGTTCTTGCCACCTTGTTGATGCTATGTCTGTTCCATGTCTGTGATACTGGAGTCGGTCAGTTCAAAACCCAATTCGCTGGTGTGACCAAGTTGCTTTCAATTCGATTGCGGGCCTCTCCTTACCTATCAGAGGAACTAAAATGGTTCATCCGAATGTTTACATGGTACGATACGATGACTTCGACAACGAACGACCGCGAGCTTCAATTGCACAGCAGATATGTCGACTTGACTGCAGCGTCAGATGGCGAATGGGGCCTTGAGAATCTCGCTGGATGCGACGCCGGGCTATTCAGAATCATCTCACACCTTGGTCGGTTGAATCTCCTCAGCCAGAGCCAGGAACACACCCAATCTCCGCCGCATATCTTCGTGCCTACCTCCGTCCCTCCGCCTTCCATGACCTACCATACTCAGGAGATGTTTCTATCCGGCCTACCAACGCAAATTGACCCCTATCTCTTCCCATTACCTACTCCGCCGAGACCTGGCGATCAAACCAAGCAGCCGTCATCACCATCTTTCTGGACGGAATGGTACTCTATCAAACAGCAACTGGAAGCCTGGCGGTTTCCACAAGAGCGGCTCAGCCCGGGGCATGTGGAGTCTGCTCAGATGCATGCGTACATATCACCACCTTCATCGCCGCTATACCAGTCCGGAGTTGCTCCTCAGAATGTCGAGGACGTTTTTCACATCTCCGAGTCGTTTCGCCACTCGGCGCTCCTTTACAGCGAGCGTCTCGCATACCCAGACTTGCCGTCTTCCCACCCGCGCATCCAACAGATTGTGCAGCGCTCAATGGCACATATTCTGGCAGTCAAGTCTGATGTGTACCTTTTATGGCCACTGTTTATCACCGGCTCCGAATGTGTCTATGAAGAGCACCGTATAATTATCCAAGAACGTTGCAAGGATATCTCCAGAGACTCTGGGTTCTGCAACAATCTTTCCTGCCTCGAACTCTTGCAGAGAATCTGGGCGGAGAACCCCCCTGCCGGCGCACAGGAAAACGGATATGGGGGGTTACCGGTATACCAGTCTGACTGGCCGGCGTTGGATGGCGGTATGCCTCCCATTTCCCTTTGCAAGGGACAGGGCTTCCGATGGCAGCACGTTATGCAAGCGAAGCGAGCCGAAGGAGAATACATGGTGGTGTGAAGCTCGCCATGAATGACGAAAATAGATTTCTCAGTTATATACCACCTAATGAACTTCAATACCTTTGACCCTGTTCCAGAACACAGATCTATTAAACATGCCATGTGCACCGATACATACACTCGATTTGAATCTCAGTAAACACCGAGTCTAGACCTCGTTTCCCGACACTTGGCAAGGTTCACGACGGCCATACTAATAAGAAACCCCCTAGGTCGCCAGGGCGGCCTACCCGTGCCGACAAAGCTTGAATCGGAATGCTATCTAGTACCGCCAGTCCCCGACTCTAGCGGTGTCAGGGTCGGCGTCGAGTCTCAACAAACAACAAACAAGCTCAACCAAGGTCCACATCCATATTCCAAGTTCTGCGCGATACCTTATGCTAGGGACATGGCTGGCTTGGCCTGGCCTGGCTTGGCCTGCCTCGCAGCTCTTGCCCGAGGTCGTAGTCGTACATGTCTGCGTCTGCGTCTGCATTGCATTTGCTTCGCATCTAGATCCAGGTGTGTCGGGAAACGAAGCGAGCGAAGCGAACGGTTTGCAGGAGATCGAGGATATGGACTGCATTTATCATTGCTTGCCTATCACTGCTGTAGGCATGTCTAGTTATGTCGTGCTTATGCGTACCCTACTACTGTGTCGATCCAATGCAATCAACAAGATGCAAAAGCCTGGCCTAGTATTGCAGGAGCATGGATGTATGCAAAGAAACGACCCAGGTTATGCACTGCCGCTAAGGGTTGTAAGATTGAGACCCATGTTGCTAAGCCTTGCTGCAAAGTTTAAAAAAAAGGTGAAAGGTGAAAGGTGAAACTGAAAGGTGACAACTCATCGACCCCTCCATCTCCACTCGGGTCGTTGCTGGGGTGAAGGACAAGGTTGATGATCTAGCAGGAACTTGGAAGGCTCCATAGCCTAGGAATCAGGATTGCGATGATGGTGAATACAGTACGTAGATTCGTTTACGAGCACATAGATCAGTGTTCAAGTCCAGTCCAGCGAACCGGGGATACCGTATCGGATAGCGCACCCGCACTCGACGTACATGGCATCTATAGGTAAAGCAACGTATCCAACAACATCATTCCATTCCATCAACCTCGAGTAACCCTCCACAACCTCAAGTCGACAATGACATCCGCATCCGCATCCTCGATGATCGAAATAATTCTCCTAGCGCCAACCCACACGAACCGTTACGGCTGGATCTCGTGTCAAGCCCTCATTTGCGGGGATATCCCCGACTCCACTGTTGGACAGCAGCACAGCACAGCAGTAGGTAGCACTTGTAGGGCTGGGCGAGCCATGGCCGAGAAAGTGAGTTTGCGTTTGCATTCCAGCCTTGCGGCGTACCGGTATGCAGTGATCGGTCCCGAGTACGAGGACTAGAGTCTAGAAGTGAAGGCGGTTGTTCAGAGGTCGGTTATTTGCTGTTAGATCTTGTCACCTAGTGCTGGAGGACTAGAGTGTGGAGTAGGCGGCTATCGATATCGATATGGATATCAATATGGAGACGGAGACTATGACGCGATTCATATTAAGTCCAGTCGCGGAGTCGCAGGATGAATCGGGGTGTGTTGTCAGCGTGAGGTGAGTCGGCTTGGCTGTACTTTTTACAATAGTAGGAGTATTCCGTAGGTACATAATCCGTAGCTTGGGTCCTTGATGTACTCCGTAGGCGCTTTGTGTCCAAGGTTGAAGGATGTATGCAACCTTGGACTACGGAGAACGGAGTAGACAAGAGAGGGAGTCCGTATACAATTCATGAGGACGGTGTAGTGTGGCGTAAGCATAAACCGACTCAATTGAGCTTGCATATATTCTGATGTACATGTACAACAGCGTACGAAAGACGACAGAATCTAGGGTACGAGCACGGTAAGAACATGTTCATGCACCAGCGCAAGGACTCGTTCGAGTTCGAGTTCGACTCTCGCGGTGCCCACTGCCCAGCCAGCCAGCCCAACGCGGCCGTCCAAACCAGGTAAACGGCCTCATGGCCTACGATAAGCGTGGGTCTGGAACATGCAACGAAAGTCCCATGCAGACGCGAATCGAATCGATCAGCGCGCTGCAGCTGCGCCAATCCTTTCCCTGGCTTGAGCAGAGCTGGAATGGAAAGCGATCTAGGGCTCAGGGCAAGGGCAGGCGCACAATCCTTCAGAGTCAGATCCGAAATGAAATGAAATGAACCAGGTCGCCGTCGGCAATGCATGGTTCCTTGCTTTTTCTTGTTCTCATTTCGCCTGCCGCTGATCGGCGTGAGGCTTGAATCATTGCTGGACGGGGAAATTATTCTTAGACAGGAGGGAGGAAGGAGGGGTGCGACACAGAGCGACCGGCTTGAGTTGTACTCGTAGGGAAGTGTTGGGGCTTGGGTTGGAAGTGAACATTGGGAATGTGAAGCGCGAGTCACGCGACCGCGTAAAACGATTCATTCATGCCTGGTGCCTGGAGGAATTGATATCTCGAACCTCGATGAACAAAGGACGGGACGGGATAAGTATGCGGTGGATGGGAGATATGCGGTATTGCAAATACGATGGTACCGATGAAGGGGATGCAGGGTAAGATTGGACGGAATATAAATAAAACAATATTAAATCCAAGGCTGTGATTGATTGGAATCCTTCAAATAAAAGTCTAATAGAGAGATCCAGAGCAAGGGGCCTGGGGTGAAGAGTGAAAACTCTGCTGGTGGGGCTGGAGAGAGATACGGTGTAAGACAAGTCGAGTCTCAGTCTTGGACTTGGTCCTGATAATAAGCGCTGTGAAGGTGGAAGTGATAGTATCGATGACTGCCAATCAATATCTACCATAGAAGAGCGGAGAATGGTGGTCAGCAGTAGAAATGCAGAATGCGAATGCAGAAGCCGACCGTTGGCGAGCCGGAGTTAATCATCGGCTTAGGTGACAGACCCATAACCCAGCGATCCGCGACTTCTAGCGGACTCTAAATCTTTTCCATCGGAGCATCCGCGCTATTGGTTGCAGCCAAGCATCCAGAACCTCTGCGAAGTGCGAGTGTGCTCTCGTTGTTTTTGTGTGATATGCCAGGGGTTACACCGGCTTCGACGCTCATTCAGCGCATAGCCGCGCACCGAAAAGCCGCACTGCTAGTTAGTGATAGATCGAATCCCTACCTGAAGGCTGAAGCAGTCTGTCTGTATTTTACTTGCTTCACAAAGTACTCCGTACAGACTACTGAGACGGTGTCAAACCTTGGTGATGGTGTGGTGGCTGCCCAGCGGAAACCATGTCCGCAGCCCAACTTGTCACTCCAGCGTTCAAGCGATTACTCTGGAGTTGACTGTTGAGGGCTCGGCCAGTCGCTGCCTGGCGAGCTTATTCTGATCCACGGAATGCAGCGGATGCAGCCGGGCTTTTCCACGGTCTATCAGATGTCAGACATGACCTCACGGCCACCGTACCTGATGCTCATGCATGCAGCATCTATCGCTGCGCTCAGCGGTTACCGATACCGACCAGACCGCGCCACATTGCCACTCCAATAGCAGCCACAGAGTCTGACCACAAGGACGGCTGCTCTTATTCTACCGACGTTCCCCACCGCTCCCGAGGGCCACCATTCCCAGTAGGGATTCTGTTCAAATTTGTATGGTAATGTACATACAATTCGTAACAACGCTCCTACTGGGGCCGGTCTTTGTTGGGACTTGGGAGATCTCAAATTTCACTAAGTCAGCCGCGTGGTGTTAGGCTAGGAATAAGGCTGTCGACGCGTTGAAGAGCCATTGAAGTACAGGTACTTTGTTTTCTATAGGGAATTGCATACAAATCGAAGTACCTGTATTT